TTTTTCATATAAAAAAAAAGAAGTATTTAATTTTTGCATGCATCATGACCAAGTAAGAGGAATTATTGGTATAACCGGTGTATAACATCGCGAAGTAAGTTATGCCACGTCGTAATTTTGATGATCGTTTGGAAGTGTTATATGTTCATTGTAGAAGCTGATGGTCGGAATAATAACCAGCAATCCGCCAAATAATTACATGGTCGTTTTTTGGAAGGAGAATTTTGTAGTAAATAAAATCATGAAAGTCGTGAACATAATCCTGGCTCAAACGTTTCAAATTAGTTTCATTTAACCTTTTACAATTTATTTGTTTCTTTTTAGTCTGCAGCATTTGCATTTCGAGAATGTTAAATTTTTAAATTCAAACTCTTCTAAATTGTGAAACGTAATATTTTCACTCCAAAAAAAATATATTTGCACTGTGACGGAGCTCATTAATTAATATTACAAAAGTGCCCAAAATAAAAGTGTTTATAACACTGTGTGAAGCAAATAATTATCTGTCACTTTGTTTTTGAAAATATATGTTGTTTATTGAATTGGTGTAAATGTGCTTTGGTCAATTTCTATTATTAATATTATGTAAATTACATGCAAATTATATGCAAATTAGGCCGCCACAGTGGTTTAAATTCCTGGGGAGAACACTGAATGTATATGATACAGTGTGAACTTACCGCTAATACTCATACTGGTGTTATTTATTGTTGATTCAGTGTCAATCTGAAAGAAAGAAAGGTGATAGACGAATAGTGAATGTCAGAATTTTGTGAAACTAACTGGACACTGGCCATTTAGCCAACATGTATATGAAAATTGCCTGACATTCAATCAAGTATTAAAAGAGGACATTTAACTCAGTTTTTCCTAGGATTTATAGTAATGGAACAGGTGAAAATCAAAAATGATGTAATCAGCTGTGATTGACATCATCATTGAAGGAAAAGTATTAAACCTAGACCATATTCATGGTTGTTTAACACTATTGTTCTTCAAAATAACAATAAAACTAGCAGCCTGTCGGCTGATATAGCTCCGCTGTTTGTGATGCATGGCGCTCTTAAAGCAATGACTAAGAAGCAATTTAAACTTAATGCTAGCTGCTTTAATATCACCAACTTTCTTGATTTTGTTGCAGAGAATATTTCACTAAAAGTAGAGAATTAAAGATATCTTTACGAAATGGACAAATTTAAAGAGGTTTACCCAAGCTGCATTTGTACAAGTATCAAAGAATTTGAACTACTGGTTTTGAAGGACAAGGCAAAAATATGTTTTTTGATGAAAAATGACGAAAATATTTGCTAAAAATACAGAATTGAAGATGTTGACAGGCGTCCACTTGATATACCTACATATACAATATCAAAGAAATTGGACAAGCAGTTTTCAAGGAGAAGTCAAAAATATAATTTTTTACCAAAAATGACAAACATATTCATCAAAATTAGAGAATTGAAGATATTGTCACAAAATCAACAAATCTGACAGAGGTCCACCTGATACACCTGCATATACAATATCAAAGCAATTGGACAAGCAGTTTTCAAGGAGAAGTCGAAAATATAATTTTTTACCAAAAATGACAAAAATATTCATCAAAATTGGACAATTGAAGATGTCGTCATAAAATCAACAAATCTGACAGAGGTCCACCTGATATACCTACATATACAATATCAAAGCAATCAGACTAGCAGTTTTCAAGAAGAAGTCGAAAATATAATTTTTTACCAAAAATATTCATCAAAATTAGACAATTGAAGATATCATCACGAAATGAACAAATCTGAGAGAGGTCCACCCAAGGTACCTACATACCAAGTATCAAAGCATTTGGGCTAGCGGTTTTCAAGAAGAAGTAGAAAATATCATTTTTGACCAAAAATGACAAAAATATTTGCTATAAATAAAACAATTGAACATATCCACATGAAATGAACAAATCTAGGAGATAACCACCCAAGGTACCTTTCTAGAAAGTTTCATAGCTATACAGTTTGTGGTTTTTAAGAAGAAGTCGAAAATGTAAAGTTGACGACGGCATTCCCATGATGTACAGGTATCATTGGAAGGAAAATAATAATAAGATTATTATTTTTTCATTTTAAGGTAGGTAATTCATTGTTTTTTTGCAAATATTTATAAAAGAGTTTTCTCACCTATGGGGAAATAAACAATAGAGTTATAGACAATATTGTAACTAGAAATGTTATGGGGTGGGCGGGTCACTTTGTAGTGTTTATTCTTTACATAGATGATCGGGTGTCTTCAAAACAAGGTATGCTTAGGGACGACGTCAAAAGATCAATGTCGGATAAAAAACTTAATTCCTTTAGTTTTTTTCCAAATCC